AAAGAATTGATCTCACCCCGCACTGCATCACGTTCTCTCCGATACTCCAGCACTGCTCAACTGGTCCCACCGTCTCTCAAGGCACAAAGAAGACCTGCATCGGGACTATTTTCTGTTTTGGCGCCGATGTGGTGGAATGAACTTCCACTAGATGTCTGAACAGTTGAGTCATTGGGTGCCTTCAAACGACAACTAAAAACGTACCGCTTTCGGAAGTACTTGTATTAGCACTTGCAGATTTATACTCATTATTCCGATATTGTGGAATAGTCTACCAGCCTATGTTCGGGATGCCGATTTGATCTTAGTCTTTAAATCTCGACTGAAGAGTTTACTTCAGTTTAGCTTACCTGGTGCTGCTGAAGATACCATTTTTATCTACTATGCTTGTCCATTTATGATGGGGTCCCGGGTCAGTCCCATGGAGGCGTGACATCACAAATGGGACCTACGAACTGTACCATCATGGCTCAGCCTTCAGTGCCACCCCACACAGCCCAACGTGGAGAAAAGGCTTATTGATTAACTTTGTCTTAATCCTTAATCACAGCTTGCACCTATCATTTAGCAAGGAAGTCCACTCTTTTCTGTTTTCAGTAGTGTTAGTTTGCTCAGGGGGATTAGGCAGCTGGTTGACCTTGGACTGCCAGAGATATTTTCTTCTCCTTACTTGAGAGTTTTTGGTTCCTCTCTTCCGTTGTCATCTGGCTTTCTTTATTTAATTTATTTCCTTCCTTTTTCCCATACTGTATTACTGTAAGTGCCTTGAGACGACTCTGTTGTGAAAGACGCTATATAAAAATACATTGAATTGAATTATTATAGAAAAAAATATTCTTGCCAACACAGTCTTTAGAGCAGTAGTTTTCTTAGCCAGGTTCGCTTCAACCAAAATGTATCAGAATGTATTCACTAATGAGACTAATAAAGTCACTCAGGCGAACGGAATATGCCAAATATCTTCCTATATGGGTGCAATCCACGATCATTTAAATGGTGTTTGTAAAAACAGTCTTTGAGGTTTGCAATTGGAGCTGGGATAGAGTTTGATATTCAGGGGACACAACAATTTAAATGTAAAGTTCTGTTTCTTTGGAGGGATGAGGCAGAAGAGGGAAGCACTCAAACTACTACCCACCCTGGGAATAAGCATATTACGTATCGGCTGATTAGCCACTTACAATACAGCATTTGTTTTATGCTTTATGTAGCAAATATGTTCTTAAAACGTGTGTTACAGTCTAGGTCTGGAATAGGTTTTTTCTATGCACATATGTGAGAGACGCTAGCTGGTGGCGGCAGACTTTTTCTTTATCTCCAATCTGACAAAAAAAACACCAATTTAAAGGAAAGAATACAGAACGTTAGCAGAGTTGTCCCAAGACTCTCAGACGGGCATTTTAAAGATAAATGTCTGCCTGGGGTGGGCTGGGGAGGGTGGCAGACTTATTTGTGGTTTGTACTTTGTTTTGTGTTTGTCGTAACCAAAATACGGTAATGCAAAAAAAGATAAACTTGACTTTTAATCAATTTAATACCGCCTTTTAAAAAAAAACTTTAAGGCTTGTACCACTTACAAAAATGGTTACACAAAACTGATGTAAAATGTTGCTTTAATGTAATTAAAGCAACTTGTGCATTTACCATACTTTGAGAATGGGGGGGTTGGCTCTGTGCCCATGAGCCAAAGGTTGGCACATCAAACCCCAGCCTCAGCAGAACAGTCACATGCCTGTGCGCCCTTGAGCAAGGCCTTTAACCGCCAGCTCTAGGGGGGCTGCATGATGGCTGACCCTGCACTGTGACCCCCCCAGCTATGGAGAGCAAGATGGGGCAGGCGCAGGCAAAGAGAAGCATTCCAATGTACCAGTACTTGTGCAAATGGCACATAAAGGATTTATTTTTTTAAGGAACATTTGTTTGTTAAATGGGATTTAATGAAGAATGCTTTTAGTCATTTTGAGGGGCTTGTGTAAAGACTCATTCTTCAAATTTTAATACATCCTCAAGCGAAATATCACATATTATAAATATTATCTCCGGTTTTACTGTAACTGTATTAGAGTCAGATTAAAGAGACCTTACCCTTCTGTGGCTAAGGAGAAACATTAGATAAGTTAAGCCAACCATACAGACTCAACTTCAAGCCACATTGTTTCAATGGAATTGAACTTGGCAAAAGACCTCAGCAAAAACATACCTGGAAGTGACCTCTAACCTCTACCATGCTGTAGCATAACGAAACAGCTTTATGTCAAACACAAGAGGCTGCTGCGCTGCATGATGGGAAGATGGTGACATTGCTGCAGCAGCAAGTTGCGGCATTACGCTGTTTTTATTTTCCCGTAAAAGAGTTGACCAATCGGATGAGCAAACCATTTTCGCGATTAAAATTACGAAACACAGATTTTAGCCATTTTCTTTAAGTACATGGAGTTTGCCTCATTTTTCATTTGTTGTTTTGTTTAATGTGAAACATACCTGCAAACAGAATGGCATGTTTGATTATTATAGCCTCAGGACAGTTTGCATTGCAGGATATTATTAGGCCTTCGCCACAGCCCATTGCAGGTGTGCCAGCATTCCTAAGCCCACAGGTTCCTGATCACGGGCATCTTAAGCTCTTTAGTCGTTATTACCAAAGCCCTTGTTCGATCACAATCACTCAAAACATCCTGTGATGCTTCATTCTCAAAACATTTTTACTGTTATTTAACAAAACTTGCCACAGAAAAAAAATAAATAAAACTGTGCAATGGGGAAGGGAAAAGCAGCCCTAGCTTCGGCTGTCTGGCGGGATCAGAATGCGCTTGGGTGTGTTTTCTTAGCATTTTCCTGTAATTGATAGTCCCTTAGCACCATTCAGCAGTGCCAACTTCAAACGAAGGTACACATTATATTCCAGGTTATAGGTAGTCATTTGCAGGAATGACATGTGGTACAGAATTATACAACACAAAATTACAAGTTCTGTACTCTTACTAAAATAAAAATGGGTATGAGCTGTTGGGGATTATTATGCATACTGTCATACTGGTACCATGTACCTGCACTGTACTCTACACTTGTTATTCCTGTTATTTGACTTATTTGGTATATTATCTCTGGAGTTATTTGTTTAATGCTGCTGTACAACTAAATTACTCCTTGTTGGAACTGTGAAGAGCTTAACTAACCAAGCCAGTTCAAATGCCGTGAAATTCTTTATCTTTCACTATCTTTCAGCTATTCGCAGTCTGTTTGTCAGTTATGCTCTATTTAGTGACCCGTTGCTCAGGTGAGAATCCCTGCAGCTGACTCACTGTTAGAGACCGATGTTTAAAAGCGTAGGCCTACCATATAACAGTTCCAATACAATGGATTGTTGAAAATACAGTCTTAAATAACATGCTGTAGGTAGACTGTAAAATGGTACATGATACCCCTCACTGGCCACTTTATTAGGACCCCCTTTTACTTTCAGATCTCGCAGCTGCTGCAGATTTGTCAGTTGCACCTTCATGATGCAAATCTCCCATTCCAGCACATATCATAGGAGCTCTGCTGGATTCCTGTTCCACCATCTATTGTTCTATTGGACTGAAATCTGGTGACTGTGGAGGCCACTGGAGTACAGTGAACTCATTGTCATGTTCAGGAAACCAATCTGAGATGATTTAAGCTTAAAATCGCCACTTTTTAATGGAGGCCCTTGGATAAGCTCATGCATTAAAGCACCCTTGAATACTGAATAAGAATGCACTTGGCCAAAGTACTTGCTGTATAGTCTATTGTTGGAATCAGTAAGTCACGCCGTAGCAGGTACACAAGGTTGAAATCTTAATAAACACGCATAATATAATTTAATAATTTAGATCATTTTAAATGTTTTTTTAAAAATTGTATAAATCGTACGAATTTGATTAATTCGATGAGTACATTTGTCTAAGCTGTTAAAACTGTCTAAAATGGTTCATTTATCCCTGTTTATTTGAATGTTTCTTTTATTTCATTATTGACAGGGTGACGTCACAGCAACGCAAATATGCACACAGTAGAAAGCCAATGTCAACATGAAGCGAAATCTTAGATATTTCAGGCAGGTTAAGGCTCTCAAGTGATTTTTCACAACTTCTGCTTCTTTTTTTTTTAGTTTAACCCATTTTAAAATCTCTAATCTGTTCTTCCTAATAGAAGTCGCAGCGACGCAGAGTCAGTAGCCATGTGCGTTTAAGATGCTAAGAACTGGAGGCGTGCGCGTTACTTCCGAAAACACCCCTGGTTCGACCAATCAGAGCGTCCGTCGTCGGGGGTAAAAGCAGCACGAGACGCCCGGGCGAAAGACGTGGCGCAGGAGGTATAAATGTGCTGGGACTTCCCTGTCAAGCTCAATGAGAAGGACGGGTCGAGACGGATTAGCCAGAAGATAACAAGATAACGTTTTTATTCCAATATACTCATCCTGAAAATTACACAACACATCGCTTTCTTCTTTTTGCACTAAGAAAAAAAATTGCTTGCCGGCGAGTTCATTTGGGAAACGTCAACAGAATAAAAAAACATTCTTTGAAATAACCGGCTCCAGTATGTATTCTCAAACTGCAATCAGGTGAGTCTTTATATAGAAATATAATTCATATAACACAATAGAAAGAAATCGGATTATTGCGCGCGAATTTTTCGTGGAATCGGGAAGAAAACCTAGCTCGAAACGGTAACTATAATCGTTAATAACACTAACGAGATATAGGCTATTACGGTCTCTTTTCATGATTATTAAAGAGTTAGCGCTATGTGCCAGGTCCATTATTCAGTAAGAGACGTTTTTCTTTATGTGCCGGTCCAGGAAGTGTGACGCGGGTGTCCCTGCGGGAAACCGCCGGGTATTAAAAATAAAGCCGCAAATATGCTTCGCTACGGTATTAAAAGCAGAAAGGAACACGTTTGTGTGAAGCTATATGGACGCACTACTATAACCTGCTAGTTCCGCCCAGCCTTTGAGACGTCAGGGTTAAATCGATCCCCTCTTTGCTGCTATTCAGGAGAGTGACAAAAGATGCTCTGTGGGAACGGTGCTGTCATGTAAAGGGCACCCATGCAGGAACCTATTCAGCACTAAGGGATACTTTAATCTCGAATGCACCTTATATAACCAGCTTTGGAGACTAATTAGATACAACTACATGAACTTAGTAAAACGATTTTTATAAGTGTTTATTGTGGGCACAGTCTGGTGGAAAGAGCAGGGGAAGTTCCGTTTTTGTGACTAATTCTGACATATGAGTCTTCACCTTGGCGTTACGCGACTCACACCACGTAGGTGCATGGAAATGTGCCTGGTCGGTGCTGGCCGTGCATCCACGAAACGACACAACTCCACTTGCTCTCCAGAGTAATTAACACGAAGACTGGAATAAATGCATAATATCGTGTATTGTCATTGCTTCTCCTGTAATCCGTCATTAAAAGCTGAGAGTCACGGACACGGGCACGTGCGTCTTTTTAAAAATGCACTTTTAAAGATCCACTAGCTATAAATTCGGTGACTTATTGAATACGCGGTTTTCAAGTAAGTTTTTGAAAATACACTGAAATTTTAATATATCGGCATGTTTTATCCACACACGTACTACACGTGGCTTTGTGTTAGCCGATGCATACTTTTGACCTGCAGTTTCAGTCTTATTTGTCAATATTTAGGGGGAAAATCCGCCACTTTAATTGTGTTAGGTGGTGTGTAAAGGGGGTTTTATTGGAGTTCTTTTGGGTGGATGCTTTTGAGAGGTGATAATAGCTTTGAAGTGTTTGTTTCTGAAGGCTCGCTGGTCCGTCATGCTTTGTTGACGAATAGCAGCGGGGCGGTATGTCTCACCTCTTCATACGACGGGCACTATAACATGATCTATGGGTCACTGAATGCCATTGGGTTTGCACTGCGGTTATTCTATTAATTAAATTCCACTTGGCATTTCTTAAATAAATGCCACATACCCAGAGCATTTTCAGGGGCAGCTATACTTCAGTTTTTTCTCTGGCATGTTTCTCTTAAAAGACTCACAGATAAGTTTGCTGTCATACATTCACCAGAAAAGAGTACAGCTACTATTTGAACTGAAATATATTTTATAGCAAGGAAATGCGGAATTTGGTGTTTTTCTTGCTAGACAGATTACAGAGTGTTTCGAATTATGAGGAAGTGGTGACGATTCATCACGGAAACTTCAGAGCTACTAAAATGATTCTGTCATTATTCTCAGTATTACAGTACAGTACTGTTTGAAGCTGGCACTGTGATTTTGATTCGTCTTTATGTAATTTGCATTTGCAGCTACGAAAAGTGCAAGGAAACTGCCGATTGGCTTCTGGCTCAGACAACACTGCGCCCCCTGGTGGCTGTCGTGTGTGGTTCAGGTCTGGGAGGCCTGGGAGATAGTCTTAAGGATGCTGTGGCTTTCAACTACCAAGACATCCCTAATTTTCCCCAGAGCACAGGTGAGGGCACTTGTGGTCTTTCCACGTCTTCTCTTTCGGTGTCTGTTGTAACATCGAGTGCTTGTTTGATAACGTTTTCCACATTGTATTGCTGTTCAGCTGCTGCTGATCAGTAGTCATGTGTCTGTTGACAGTGTTGGTCATCGGTGGTCATGTGTTGCAGTTCATGGTCATGCAGGCCGGTTGGTGTTTGGGAAATTGAAAGGGAGGCCCTGTGTCTGCATGCAAGGCAGGTTCCACCTCTATGAAGGATACCCAATCCAGAAGGTGTGCTGCTCCGTCCTCACCTTCCTAAAAGTGTCACTCTTCTGCCTCCAGCTCCCTTCCTTCTCCTTCTTTCCCTTCGATGAGTCATGTGACTTTGTGTTGTTGTGTGAGGACCAGATCTGTTAAACTCGGACTAAAAGGAAGTGCATGAAAAAAGCAATTAGAAAAAGAAATGAAAAAACATCAGTGGAATGATTCAATCATGTAATTGGTGCCTCCAAGAAGCATTTAGCGGAAGTGTGACCCTTGTCAATTTAAATGATGGTGTTGACACCCCCCTTTTCAAAGATCACGGCTCCCATGCGGATCTTCAAGCTGCTGGGGGTGAAGACAGTGATCCTGACCAACGCAGCGGGGGGCCTGAATGAGAAGTACAAGGTGGGGGACGTCATGATCATCAAAGATCACATCAACATGCCAGGTTTCGCGGGATGCAACCCACTGATGGGGCCCAACGATGAAAGGTGTGTAATCGTGTGTGTGTCAGGCTGGTGTAGTGACTAGCAAATACGAGTCAGTACTAAATGCTGTGGTTATGAAATAGGAGCCCTGAGGGATTAGAACCCACAGCCCTCTAGGAATGAGGCAATAGTGTTACCCATTACATCATAATTCCACCCACTAAAACACCAACTAAAATCAGTCCAAAACCGCAGATGTGCCCGAACTCCAGCTTGGACTGTAACAGGAGTGCCAGTCACGATCCAGAAATGTTTCTGTTACAAAGTCAGACCGCTAGGTGGCGCCAAACCAAAACGAAGTGGTCACATAGTGAAGTCTGCATGCACGTGCATTTTTATCAACAGCACAATTCTGTTTCAAGCAATAAAAGCTGGCACCGATTGTTATTGTCCAATAAAAGATTCCTTACACGAGATGATTAGTCTTGAATTTGAACGTAATACTATTACGTCGTTCAGTCAGTTATTTCCTGTGGCTGGTAAGCTGCCCCCACGTCTCACATTTTGGAGGTATATCGAGAGAAACTTCCCGATGGTGCGAAAGGCTGTGTGTTTCTGCTGAGCAGCAGTTGTGTTAGGCAGCATATTCTGACAGCGAGGCGTGACTTTTCTGCTTCCCGCAGGTTTGGCACGCGGTTTCCTTGCATGTCAGACGCGTACGACCGCGAGCTGCGGCAGCTGGCGAGGCACGTGGGGGATGAGCTTGGCTTCGGCGACTTCATGCACGAGGGCGTTTACTGCGTGCTGGGAGGGCCGTCCTTCGAGACCATCGCCGAGTGCCGCATGCTGCGCAGACTGGGGGCCGACGCTGTTGGTGAGGTGTTCAGTCCTGCAGTTTCAGAAATTCCTTTCCTACGTTTCACCATCCCACCCGAATGTTGGCAAGACTTGACTAGTGGGTTTTGGCAGGTTTACTTATTGACTACTGAAGCCTTGTGCAGATAACCATAAATGTAGCCTAAAGCAGCATGAGTCTAAAGTTGACTCTTGCCATCATTTGTCTGGGATATGCTACAGTAAGACCTTGTACCTCAATGGCGAGTGCTTAAGTGTTCATGAAATTTTCTGTTATACTTTTCTTCAAACACTGATTTCAGTTTTTCCTTTTTGTCAATTCTGCCCACATCCAAGGGCACGGACAGGGAAAATCTATCAAAAGAAAAGCTCTTCTGTTAATATGGAAAATAGGTCTTAATCTTAAAACAACATTCATTATTCCAGTTTTTTCTTCCCTTTCATTCATTTCACCCACATCCCAGTTAGCTCTGAAGACAAGATAGAAATTTTTTCAAAATAAAAGCTCTTCTTTTAACATGGAAAATACAACCCCATTTCCAAAAAAGTTGGGACGCTGTGTAAAATATAAATGAAATAAGAAGAATGCGGTGATTTGCATATCATATAAACCCATATTTGATTGAAAATAGAACAAAGACAACATATTAAAACTTGAAACGGAGAAATTTTGTTTTATGACGAATACATGCTCAGTTTGAATTTGATGCCAGCAGCTTGTTGGCATGAAGGTTGGGTCAGGGGCGTGTTTGCTACTGTGTGGCATCACCTCTTCTTTTAACAACACTTTGTAAATGTTTGGGAACTGAGGGGACCAGCTGCTGCAGTTTTGAAAGTGAAATGTCCCATTCTTGCCTGATATAGGATTTCAGCTGCTCAGCAGTTCAGGGTCTCCTTTGTGATATTTTTTGCTTCATGATGTGCCAAATGTTTCCAGTGGCTCTTTTTATACTCAGTCATCTTAACGGCCTGTTGCCAGTTAACCTGATCAGTTGTGGGGTGTTAAACCAGGTGTTTTAGCATTGCGCAACTTTTCCAGTATTTCGTTGCCCCATCCCAAGTTTTTTCAAATGTGTTGCTGGCATCAAATTCAAATTGAGCATATATTTGTTGTAAAACAAAATTTCTCAGTTTCAACTTTCGATGTGTTGTCTTTGTTCTATTTTCAGTTAAATATCAGTTTACATGGTTTGCAAATCAGTGCATTCTGTTGTTATTTATATACACATTGTCCCAACTGTTTAGGGAATGGGGTTGTAAGTTTAAAACTTAAAACAACAAATAAATTTTGTGTATGTATGTAAATACACTAATAATCCATATGTATGTATGTAATGTAATGTATATGTATATGTATGTAAATACACTAAATAATAGTAATCAGATTTAGGGTTATTTACATCAGATGTAGAATACATAATACTTTAAAAGGGACAGTACTAGAAAACTTATATTTTTCAAATTTGAAGTTCATGGTAAAAGTTCATGCAGCAAAGATAAAGAAACAAACTAACCATAAAACTGGGAACACTAACTTCAGCCACGGTCTAGGTTAGTAGTGTGGTAGTGAAGGACTGTGTGTTCCCTCACCTGGCAGGCATGAGCACGGTGCACGAGGCCATCGTGGCCCGGCACTGCGGCCTGCGGGTCTTCGCACTGTCGCTCATCACAAACCAGGCCGTGATGGACTACGACAGCGAGGAGAAGGCCAACCACCAGGAGGTGCTGCAGACAGGGAAGGTGCGCTCGGAGCAGCTCGCCAGCCTGGTGTCCACAATGGTAATGAGCATGAAGCACGACAGCGGAGACATGCTGGACGGGATGTGCGGCCAGTAACTCTGCCTTTTAGTATATCGACCAAGATGCGTCTGTTTTCTATTTACTAGTTATGTATAAAGTGACACTTCATGAACCATTTGCTGTATTTTTGACCCCACTAGATGGTGCTCATGGTTTGGGGCATGGTTTGTGCCCTTTTCTGAATAGAGAGCACCACCTAGTGGGGTAAAAAAAAACAGCAAATGGTTCATGGAGTGTCATTTTGTCCATCACTACTATTGACATTATCCGCTTCACATGTACATTCACCAGTCATTGTTTAATGGGGCTGCATAGACCCAACTCCCTGGAGATGCTTTTAATGCAGTACTGCACTTGAATTTTGTAACTTGAATTTTGTCGTCTTAACGGGATAGAGATGCTTAACAAAAGTGATGGACAAAATGACGTTTCATGAAGCATTTGCTCTGTTTTTTGACCCCACTAGATGGTGCTCTTGCTTTGCTTTGCGGCATGCTTTGTGCCTTTTTGAACCAATATCACCATCTAGTGGAGTTGAAAAATACAGCAAATGGTTCATGAAGTGTCATTTTGCCCACCATTACTTAACACCCTGTCTTCTTAAACTACATTATATATTTATTTTTATTCCAATGAAAAAAGAAAAAAGTACTACAGTCAGTTTTAAATAAAAAAAACAAAGATAAATTAATTATTTAGAAGGTCTTATTTAGTGTGTACTTTCTGTTTGGTATTGTTAAAGTCAACTACTAAATTATTGTGTTTGTTATGCTTGTACTCGTACTGTTTTGATGTTTATTTAATGATTGTAATGAATTGTTATCTGTAGCCGGTGCGGACAATTGGGGACTTTGAGACCAGTTTTTTAACTTATAAATTCCTTAGTTACAGTAAGACTGTACTTATGGTTTAAAGTTACATTCAACAAGTAAACATTGATTGCATATATCCTGTTATAACATGTAAGGGACCAACACTGTACATGCAAAATATCTTCTGTACTTGCAATAAAGTAAAATGTATCACTAGCTTATGGTAAAGCTTTACCTTTACTTTAGATATATGGTGATGAACCGTTAAGTGTTCTGTGTCGTTCTTTTCCATACCGCTCCCAATATATCACTCTGCATGTTGCTTCACACATTCTGGGCTGTGGGTTCGATCCCCTCCCCTGTGTGTGGAGTCTGCAGGTTCTCCCCATTTTCACATCGGTCTTTCCCTGGTACTCTGCTTTCCTCCCAGAGCCCAAAAACAAGCAGTTAAACAAACTGGTGTTCCTAAATTATGTGTAACTATACAAGTGGTGTCCCTGCCCTGTGGCCTGTGCATTCTGGGATAAGATCCAGGCTCACTGTAACGCCATACTGTATAAAAAGTTATAGGAAAGAGTTAGATACATGCTACGTACGACACTAAAAGCTGACATGCAGGACCTCTGCATATGTTAAGGCTGATTTATACCCTAAGCCAGTGTTTCTCAAACCAATCCTCTGGGACCCCCAGTCCATGTTTTTGCTCCCTCCCAGCTCTCAGGGGATTGGGAGGGAGCAAGAACATGGACTGTCTGGGGTTCCCCGAGGACTGGAATGAGAAAAACTGCCCTAGGAGTCGTAGCAACAGATCTACAAAACACTCAGAATGACTGCAACAATCTCACTTAATTAAGTTTAAATACGAATAAAGTAAGTTTATTCGTACTTTACAAGACTTAGAAAAGTAAAAAGTAGTATAAACACCAATTTTGACTGGAAAGTGCATAAAAAGTGACTGTAGTGATTCCACATTTTCCCAAATTTGTTTATAGGAAGTTTGAAGCGGCACAAGTAACCAGGACCCAATGAATCGATATATTTTTTTAAATGTTTGTTTTTTTCTGTTTCAATTGCGTGATTCAACAATTGAGTATATTGCAGGGTGGCAAGACAATAAATGCAACATCCAAAATTATGTATCACCTAGAGTTTTGGCGTGTAATTGCTGAGCAACAGGCACATCAGCACACGAGTTTAAATGTTGGCGACCTTGTAGGCCACTTGCGTAGGTCACAATGTAGGCCTGACAGAGAAGTATAGATCAGCCTTTAAGGAGTAAACCATCATCAGTCAAGGAATGATATCCCTAGTGAGAATATCTGTCATACAAGGTTCTGCACTGTGTGTTTAGGGTATGTAGGCCGGGTGAGTTATGCAATACAGCTTAAGTGCAACTTGGGAAACCTCAGCCTCAGCCTGTGCCACCTTGGGTCATATTTTTCTCATTCAGTCACGCTGAGCTGACTACACCCCCCCCACACACATATTTATATTGTTATGCTTGCACAGAATACAATAGACAGCCTAGCTCTCAAATGATCTACTGAGACAAATACTGAACGCTAAACATTTATGAAAGAGAATTCTGCATGATGTCACAAAGCAAATAAACTGTTGCTTATCTTTCACACAACAGAAACACCCTCATCAACAGTGTCTGACTCATATTTTGGTCAGACTCCAGAGAACATTTACCAAGCTATAAATTAAAATTATTTAAATAATAATCTAAATTTTCATTCTGTTATTCCACGCGAAACTGATTAAAAAATAACTTCAACTATACCTACACTTTTATGCAAATTGTTTTCAACCACACAAGGTCAGATAAATGTGGTTGGATTCACTGTATTTATGTTACTTTCTCCTAGCATACTGCTTTTAGAAACCCTAATAAAATACCTTTTTATTAGCCACTGGGTTCTTCTGTCACACCATTTAATCTGGAAAATTTATAACGATGATACCATCACCAGAAACTCAGTATGTTCTTTTCTATGCGTATTTTAAGGCAAAGAGGCTTTGCTCAGTCCGCATTTTTCTCTCTTCAGCCACTGGAGACCACATCCTGTGATTTTTCTTTTTTATCGGTTTTATTCCTTCACTTACAGATAATTACTTATGTCTTTCTTTTCATTCTCAATTTCGAGCACAAAAATCGTTTTTTGCAAATTAAAACCTTTCACATGGGCATCCATGCTGCAGAAACTCTAAGTCATCCTGTGCAACTCGATGTCGCACTACCACCACCCAAAAGGAAACAGCTGACCCAGTCTCCGGTTGTGCAAAACAGAAACTGACAAATTATAATTCCTATTTCCAAATGCTTTAATGTACTAGAAGTCGCGATCACGTTATGCAAAAAGACAGCAGCAGACATCTGGGGAGAGTTTTTTAAGTCGTTTAAAGGCGATCAGCTTTCGCCGGTGTGGATGATCCTGTGCCGTTTGAGGTGGTGCAGCAGAGTGAAGGTCTTGCCGCACTGGCCGCAGCAGAAGGGCCGCTCGCCGCTGTGGACGCTCTGGTGCGTCTTCAGGCTGCTCTGCTGGGTGAAGCACTTCCCGCAGGTGCCGCACCTGTACGGCCGCTCCCCCGTGTGCGTCCGCAGGTGTATCTTCAGGTGCGAGGAGCAGTGGAAGCGCTTGCCACACTGCGCGCAGCTGAACGGCCGCTCACCCGTGTGACTGCGCTGGTGTATCTTCAGGTAAGGCAGGCGGCTGAAGCTCTTCCCACAGTGCGTGCAAATGAAGAGCTTTTCCCCGGCGTCCGGCCTCCAGAGGTTTTTCGACCTGACAACTGAGCTCAGTCCGTTGTGATCCATGGCATACCCATCGGTGCTTTGCGCATCTAAGCTCGGCCCCGAGGCGCATGGTATCACACCCAGCTGCGGCTCTGACGAACCATGGTTTTGCTGTGCGTTTGCGAAGGAGACGTTCTCCCCCATTGAGAACCGTTTCTCCCCGGACAAACTGTGATTTAAACCAGGCAAAGTCCCTTTGCTGCACACCGTCTCCATTTTAGCCTCCTCTTTTACGCAAATGGTTTCAAACCCATGACTGTACTGTTTGTGGAAGGAGGGCAGAGAGTTTCCGGGACTCGCCATCGGGGAAAGCCCGGGCTGAAGCTCCCTGTGAGCCGGCAGGATCTGCGGATATGGTTCATTTTCATACACGCAGTCGGTGAACTCCACCGGCGCGTCCATGTCCCCCTGCGGAAAGTTATTCCACAGCTGACTGTACTCAGCCTCCGTGCCCTGAGGGCGGCCCGCACCGCGATCAAACTCCCTGGCCTCCGCGCTGTTCCCCTGCCTGGCTTTCCCAGCACACCTATGTCCAGCGAGCTCCACTGCGCCCTCTGCAGGCCCCGCGCCGTCCACTAGGGGACGAGGTGGGACCGGCGTGTCCTCTGCGGGGGACGATGCAGCGTCACACACCTGCTGGCAGTGCGGACGCTCGAGGGGAAGCCTCTCTCCTTCGTGTGGATCAGACTCCGCTGCTCCTGTTTCAAGGACACCGGTAAACTGCACAATGACAAAAGCTTAAATTCATAGACATGTATAATATTCAAGAGCATTGATTTGATTTCAACATAGGCAGGGACCAAATTAGCCCTGATCCCCCGGCCCCCCTAAACAAACATGGTTCTCCCACAATATAGGTAGGCACACGCCCCTACTGTCCATACCCAAATCTGCACGCCTGATAATACTGCATGTATGGTTCTGATTATAGGTTTCAGTATTTACTAGTAACGTTTCACAGTGGACTGTCCTAATGCATGTATATCTGGACAGTAAATAAGTAGAACACTATTGCATGGATAAACCATGTTAAACTAACAAAAAATCATCCTCATCAGCATATTAATGTTTTTACAAATTTTGTTCTAATAATATAGTTCTACCTTCAATGCTTAATCTTTATACATTGATAAATAAAACATTGTGCATTACAAGGCTACCTTAATTAAGTCACAGGGTAAAGAAACGTCATCATGAATGGAAGCATTTTGCCAAGCAGTAAGAAAATGTAAACGCCCGATATTAAAACTTTCTTTGCAGATTAAGTACAATATATTAACTGATCTCTCAGGCCTGATGAAAAACAGCAGGCTGAACAGCCACGGGGCCATACCTGCCTCACAAACCCACCCTAGCAGTCAGTCCCCAGCCATGCTACATTACTCAGTGTATTTCCAAATATTTACCCTCCCCGTGTATTTTCAGAAGACCTTGTGGGTTATTTTTCCAAGCATCTTCATCAGGTTTCTCCTCCTTAATGAAAAGTTCCTGGTCACCCACTTCCTTGTCTGTCACCTGTGACAGAGGAAACTGCTATAGGACTAATGCAAGGCAGTGCATGAAAATGATGACTGAATAATATAAGTATAATGCCTTAATGAAAGTATTTCAGAATCGTTATGCCATTTAATCAGTTCACTACCACATTATTTAAAAAGCAAATATCATTTAGTCCTTAACACAACCACCACATTTCTTTTAGTAAAAATCCCTCGGGTTTTTAATTCCTGCTTTTTGAGAATTACTACTATGCAGCAGGAAGCTGCCGAGGCAGGATGATGAATCTGTATGCGATCTGACCTCATATCCCAAAGTAACGGACTGCAGCAGAGTCCCATCATCCTCAGCAGCCGTAGACTCGTCATCTCTATACAGACTGATGCTCCAGTTCTTTCCAAAGCTGTTGTCTAAAGGGCAGTGTTCTTCCTCTGCAAGAGTAAATTAAAAAGACACGCACACACAGCGGCGCTAAAGAGGTGAGTAATCCAGAATGAAGCTGGGAAGGAAGCAGCCGGTACCTGCGCTTTCTGCAGATCGCCCTCGCCGGGACCGCAGCTCGCTCTCCATCAGCAGCAGCTTCCTCCTCAGCGCCTCGTTCTCGCTCTGACTGCGGGAGACTTCCAGGCGCAGCACAGCGTAGCTGTCGTCCACAAGTTTGCCGATTTCTGCTACCGCTGCCTTGGCCAGAATGTCCATGATCGCAGCTAACTGTGTTTGAAAGGCTGCAGAGTTCGCCATTTTAACGGACGATCGCACCAGGCGAGCCTGTTTAGTCACAATATCGTCCGTATGAAAGATAGTAGCTAACGGAGTCCTTTATTGTCCAGTGCAAAATAGCTAACTTGATATTAAATGTTTTATATTGTTTACTTCCGGACAGGTCAGGAAGTTACGGTGATGTCACCTATTACCGTAAATACCGAACATAAGCCGCAGCAAAGGATTTTCTCCGGTTCATTTATTAATAACAATAGATGGACGTAGCTTCGCGACCCTGAAAGGTTGCAGAAAATGGATGGACGGACGTAGCTTCATACCTTCATTGTTCATGTTCTATTTCCACACTCGCCCAGCACCACCTCCATTCTATATGTTCTCCCTGTCTTTTAGTAGGTTTTCATTGGGTACACTGTAATCCTTCCATTATACTGAACCCATTATACACTGTACTGAAGAAGTCGTTACGGAAGATACATGCATATCATATGTTTGTTTTTGGAAATGCACTAACATCTGAATATTCCAGTACATATTCAGAAAAGGAAACTATATGTAAATAAAACAATTCCTATGGATACCTATAGAAACAAAAAAAATGTTGTCTTGTGTCTTTTCCACCTGCTCCACTCCTGTTTTTCTCTCTACCCAATGTTTCTTAACCCAGCCCAATCAAGAACACAGATTATTTGGTACATGATGCGAGCTGGAAGGGAGCAAAGATGTGGACTGGGGTTCCTCAGTTCACCCATGTGTGGCACCACATCTGTACCTCTTCTGCTGGAGAATTTGCTCACCAGTAGCTAACAGTGTTTATTAAGAGCCTCAAAAGACAGTAACAAATCAATACAGAAATGGAAAAGACACAAAGCCTATTGTATGATACAAACCTCTCATCCAATCACATTAAACATACAATGCTTTAACCACTTTTGGGTTCAGGTGTCCATCTGAGTAGAGACCACGCATATGAGATTTATGTTTGCAGGCATAAGCAACCGTGTTGACTGGTTCAAAGATGGTTTTCTGGTCACTTTTTCAGACCCAGTGGTTCCATTTAGCCAAACCATTGCTAGATTCAAGGCTGTACAGCTATAAACTAAGATAAGGAGCAGAAGAGAGTAACAGTCAACATTCAGTAACTTATGTGAATGAATAATAGTCAGAAAGTAAGTCTGAGCATTAAGAAATCCCCAATTTGTGACTGATTAGTCTCACGCACGTCTCTGCAGCTGTACGACGCATATTCGGCTTTCTGGCATTCTTATATTCTCTGTCACTCAAAGTGACTAACAGTAAGCCCATGGCTCTGGGACACAGACCTCACCTTCCACTTACCCTTAACACTACATCCAAGAACGGGCCCTGCATGCATTCCGGTAACCTTTAATAAGCTCCATAACACCCTCAACCTTCACAGATACTCCTCTCTTAATTTATAAACAAATTACAAGTACACGATGATCCGCTTTAACTATGTCTACATTATAAATACAAACAGAATTCGAGCTAGTTTTTTATTGCACTTAAAATTTCTGCAATATACACATACCCCCTTTCATATAAAACCAGACACATATATAAAACCATGTGTCGCATACCAGATGGTTTCCAGCATAGAACATGCCTGGCCAACAGTATGGGAAGAGTGACATACTGCACTGTCAATGTCTTTATTCAAACACAGCAAGATGAGCATTATGCTGCAGACCGAACACACAAAAGAATCTAAATATGAACCAGAGTTTCATTATCGAGGAAAATCAACCAAACACAACTGGTCCTATGCAGCTGGTTCACTGATCATTTCACCAAGTTATTCTTAAACTGTTCTAAAACAAACTAAGCTATGGCAATCCAGTAGAAGGCTGCATGCTTCCAGTAGGAGTTAATAAAAAAAAAAAGTGATAGAGAAATGTTTTTATATAGCTTATCCAAATGTTTAGTATGGTAACTATGGAGACAGTAGTGACAGCCAAAGGTGTCCTTGGTGATACCGTATCACCGTGATATTTTCGGCCAGTTCATAGCAAACACATTCTGCACAATTTTCTCTCTAACACGCTTGTACAAAACAAGTTCAGTGACAAACGAAGCACTGGTATACAGCAAACTGTCAATGACCTTAACAACCTTGGCATTGTTGCAATTTTTATACATACAGCTGTACATTACAGGACTGAATGGGCCATTGCACAAAGTTTCATGTGTAACTTTACAATGCCTTTTGCTACAGTATCAATTGGGGCACCATGATTTTTTTCAGCATTTATAACAAGTGATTCATTGAGTGCAACAACAGACAAGTATACACTAAATGTGATACCTGTGTACCAATGTCAAAAATACTTCAAGCAATACTGCCCTCTGTAGATAATATGGCATCACACACAGCTAAACACAGGAATATGGTTTTACAGACATTTCAGTCTTTTTTAACACTGACGCTACATGCAGCTATTACATCAAACTGGAATTTATCATAATATTTATGCAATTGCACTTAATGTACCATACAACATACTATCACAGTAACCAGTGATGAGTATATACCCATATTGTTAGAAACAAAGGGTAAATCCCATTCCAAGATAATGTTATTTCTTTCCACCAGTGTGAATCTTCTGATGCACCTTGAGAGCACCTAAATGCGGGTAACTGTTCCCACACATGTAACAGCTATAAGCTCTGACAGCCGCGTGCCGGCACTGGTGTGCATTGCGGTTAGACAAACAAGAGAACGTCTTTTTACACATATCGCAGCTGTACGGTCTCTCGCCAGTGTGCACCCTCTGGTGCCCCTTAAGGCTGCTCTTCTGGGAAAAGCACTTCCCACATGTGGTACAGCTGTAGGGTTTCTCTCCCGTGTGAATCCGCTGGTGTCTTTCCAGGTGGCTGAATCGATCAAAGCTCTTCCCGCACTGTGCGCAGATGAACCACTTTTCTCTCGTGCAGGCCGTGTGACCACGCACTTTCTTAAGCTTACCCAAGCCATTACACCTCAGTGCAAGCCCACCTGCATCCTGAAGCCCAGGGGCTGTCCTGAGCATGTGCACATATGAGTTTGCTAAAGACGACAAAGGTCCTTCTGAATCTTCCTCAGCATTTGGGACAGATAACAGCTCTGTAGGGCAAGAAAGAACACGAGAGTCCTGGCCAGAAACATATGAACAGCTAGAATCACCAGTTTCTCTTTCTCTGTTCTCCAGTTTAAAGGAACTCTGTAGTGGTCTCTGAGTTTCATCCATCGCATCCTCCAAGTGTACATTAATCTCGGAAGTGTTTTTGGGTTCTCTTGAGTTAAGCTTCTGGGCTGCTGTGAGCAGGACAGCTTCATCCTGCTCCGCCTTCACTAAAAAGTCTACCCTACCGAGCTTCTCTTCACTATGCCCGGACCTGAGATGCTCAGCAAGCCCACTAAAACCTTCATTAGTTACAGGCGGCGTATCCTCCTCTTCCGCGGTGTCTGCACGTGTGGAGTTCGTATCACGTCCCCCCTCACAGTGTTTGCGTTGAGACGGTGGTCTTTTTGCGGCACTAGCATGTCCTGCGTGTAAAAAGTTGGCAAACATGATTTAAGTTACAATTAAATAACAAATCTGTAGCTAAAATGCGTTTATTATATAGTGCATAAAACCTTCACACGTACCCTGCTCTGTTCCTCCCAACTCATCACCAACCTGGACGCCAACCGAGCAACTGTTGAAGGTGGACTGTTTCAGTGCCGTCCTCAACTCATTCTCCATCATACTTAATTTACTATTAAGCACCTCGATCTCACTGTCTCGTCGACACACTTCTAGACGTAACATTTCCGATCCATCATCAACAAGTTTACAAATCTCTGTCACCGCTGCTTTCACAAGCACGTCCATAATAGAGGCTACACGCGTCTGAAGAGTAAAAGACGTAGTCATTTTACCTAATTCGTTTACACCGCTCCCATCTGATTTTAGACCTGGTGTATGCCTTTCATAAAGGAATCAAACTGTAATGAGCATAACCTGACAAGTGAAGTGTTCTGTTTACGAACTAAAAACTCGTACATGGTACGTTTCCGGATGGGAGACGGAAATGACATAAAATATTACCGTAAACAGTAAAAAAGACACGCACTTTCTTAATTTTGCGGGCTCATGTTCCCGGAACTTAGTTCCTCGAATAAAGCCTCCCGACTCATCTTTATTTATCTGTCATTTATTTTGGCCGCATTAATTTGTATTAAATATATGCTTTAATAATTTTACTTATTATTCTGCCACATTACAACAGTTAGCCAAAAGAGCTAGCTGTCCATCATATCTCTGCAGAAACTTGCAATGAATGAATAAATCAAACAAATATGATTATTTCTATAACAAAATCCTGATCACAGAGCTAACTGCATGCCTATGGGTGCCTGGCTGCAGGTATCATGCACGCTGTAGAAAACTAAACTTAACCATGAATTAACAGTGAATTTACTCCACACAAAAGTAATTTCTACATTGAAAATGATTTTATTCAGGGGCCTCCCTGAACTGGATAGATGGTCTGGTAGAGAATTATGTGACAACACTCCCAAGGATATGAATGTATGTCTCCCCAACTGAAAGCACACAACCAGTAAGTTAAGACCTCTTAGTAAGGCTGGTAAGATTTTCTACCTGAACATAAAAAATATATGGGAGTACATAATTATTCATATGCAAGCAGGATTGAAGCATTTTTTCCTCTTGCAATTTGATATTACAATTTAGGTATTCAGCCCAAGAGATGAACAGATTATAGAAAAAAATGTTGTAGAGAATTATATCAAAGATAAAAGGTGCTGTGTGGACATTAATATTGACCACTGAAAAACTTATTTGCATATTAATTAAACTATACTTGCACCATTAAATTGACCCACTTAATGTGATCAATTTTTGGTAAATGAAGTAAAAATAAAACAAAGAAGGAGAGAGAGAACATGAGGGAGGAAGAGAAGGGGTAGAAAAGTGACTCAGGAAGTCAGCAGGGGAAGTTTTTGTGGTTTTTTGCGTCACTGTCACTCTGGTGCTGCTCATGCTGAAACAAGGTAAGCGCACATTCTTTTACTGATTCCCTCCTTTCTAATTTTGAACCGATTCTGAAGGCTCATCTTTGGGGTTCTGCTGGGGGAGGGGGACAGACACTCAGGGCGATTTGGACGATGCTTGGGCTAGCAGGTGCTCGAGTGGGGACATTTCTTGGCGTTATAAGTCAGGCCTTCATAGCGCAGCGAAGATTTACTTCCGGAGATCGAGTAGAGGAGAGAGAAAGCCGTAAGCAGGCCAAACAAAGATGAGATGTTCCAGGGGACAGGGGACAGATAGTCGGATATATGACTTGAGTTTTCACGGCTCAAAGGAGGGGTAAATGTAAGTGTTTCGCCATGAACTGTCAGGGAGACTGAAACATTACAGAATGTGCTCGAGGGTGTGGCCTGTTTCATTTTTAGAGCTTTCATGGACTAACAGAAGGAAGTGGAGGGTGCAGCATTGCTCACTTTGCTTCAGTAAAGCCTGCACTCCGGTGCCGTACTGGCATTTATGTTACGAAGTCCCATTTCGTTAATGAACACGGTAAGATAATAGGATAGACTGTATTGATCCCAGGGGGAGATATGTAAAGTGCAAGCAAAAAATAACTATATAATAACTATGATGTAAATGAATATGTGAAGAAAACATGTTGTGAAAAACTATTGATGAAATAAATATAATAAAAATAAATCAACAGATGATATGTGTGCAATTACAAATAGATAGCAATGGATGTTTATTTTGTCAAAGATGGGGTTATGGCTGACTCATTGGGAGGCCCAGTAACATTTCCTAGCAGATTGTAGTGGTGGACAGTGGCTAAAGGTGTTCCTGGAAAGCCCCCCATGAAGAAAATGGGCAGAATGGTGTTCTCTTGTTTTACTACCATCCTCTTCTTCGCTTCTGCCTCCAGTTGGTCCAGGGTCAGTCCTGTGGTGGAGCTGGCCTTCCTGATGAGTTTGATCAAGGTCAGTCCTGTGGTGGAACTGGCATTCCTGGTGAATTTGATGAAGGTCAGTCCTGTGATGGAACTGGCCTTCTTGATGAGTTTGATGAACGTCAGTTCTGTGATTAAGCTGACCTTCCTGATGACTTTGATCAGGGTCAGTCCTGTGATGGAACTGGCCTTCTTGATGAGTTTGATGAACGTCAGTTATGTGATTAAGCTGGCCTTCCTGATGAGTTTATTCAGGGTCAGTCCTGTGATGAAACTGGTCTTCCTGATGAGTTTATTCAGGGTCAGTCCTGTGATGAAACTGGCCTTCCTGATGACTTTGATCAGGGTCAGTCCTGTAATGGAACTGGCTTTCCAGATGACTTTGATCAGGGTCAGTACTGTGATGGAGCTGGCCTTCCTGATGACTTAGATCAGGGTCAGTCCTGTGATGGAACTGGCCGTCCTGATGAGTTTGATCAGGGTCAGTCCTGTGATGGAGCTGGCCTTCCTGATGAGTTTGATGAACGTCAGTTCTGTGATGCAGTTGGCCTTCCTGATGAGTTTGATCGGGGTCAGTCCTTTGATGGAACTGGCCTTCCAGATGACTTTGATCAGGGTCAGTCCTGTGATGGAACTGGCCTTTCTGTTGAGTTTGATCAGGGTCAGTCCTGTGGTGGAGCTGGCCTTCCTGTTGAGTTTGATCAGAGTCAGTCCTGTGGTGGAGCTGGCCTTCCTATTGAGTTTGATCAGGGTCAGTCCTGTGATGGAGCTGACCTTCCTGATGAGTTTGATCAGGGTCAGTCCTGTGATGGAGCTGGCCTTCCTGTTGAGTTTGATCAGGGTCAGTCCTGTGATGGAGCTGGCCTTCTTGTTGAGTTTGATCAGGGTCAGTCCTGTGGTGGAGCTGGCCTTCCTGATGACTTTGATCAGGGTCAGTCCTGTGATGGAGCTGACCTTCCTGATGAGTTTGATCAGGGTTAATCCTGTGATAGAGCTGGTTTTCCTGATGACTTTGATCAGGGTCCGTCCTGTGATGGAGGTGGCCTTCCTGATGACTTTGATCAGAGTCAGTCAGGGTCAGATCCAGCAAGTGACAGCATAGAAATGCACGCTGGCCACTACAGACTGATGAAACTTACTCAGCAGCTTGCTTTATATGTCAAATGACTTGAGTTTCTTCTGAAGTTAGAGGTAGAATGTTTGCTCTGGCCTTTCCTGCATAGCACTGCTGTTTTATCCATTCAGTCCAGTCAGCTGTTCATGCAGACCCTCAGGTACTTCCATAACTGCACCACATCCCCCTGGATGCACCCACTTGATCCCCTCCTTGTCTCCAGACTTGAAGCCCTCTTCTTCCTGTTTAGCAGGTCCCTTGTGATCCACGGTTTTGTTACTGGGAAAACAGCACGCAAACATTGTGGGGACTGTGTTATCCACATAAAAGTGGATGTAGTCCATGATGCAGTGGCTGAGTCCCTAAGTGTCCTCCCAGTATGACTCACAGAATATGTCCCAGTCGGTCTTCTCTGAGCCATCCTGCAGTGCCCTTTCAGCCTCCTTCGTCCACTTGCTTATGGTCCTAGAAGAGACTGGTAGCCATTGAAATATTTCTTTGCAGGTGGAGGTTAGATGTACCATATTGTGATCAGAGCTGGCCAGGGGTGGTGGAACAATGGATTCACTGTTGACATTTAAAAGGTCCAGGGTCCTATTTGTGAGGGAGGATGGGAATGAAATATGACTGAAGTCACCACAAAATATATTATCTCCATTATCACCGCAGCTTCTGCCGATGGGGGGACATACATGGCAAAACAATGGTGCTTGAAAACCGCCATAGCACGGTGTCGGACACCTGAAGATGGTCCAATAAAAACATCCAGTGTATTCACTGCAGTCACCATCCAAAGGTTGATGCTGGTGAATTCACTCATCTGCTTTTTCCCCTCAGAACTGATCAGCAAGGGTGCCCAGGCGTGACGAGGTAGTAAACGCAGCACCAAACAGCGAGACACGCCGTGTGGCCCGCGGTGCCCGCAGATCTCATACAGCGCGTTTAAAAACACGGAAGAGCGAGGCGGCCAGACCACAGGACCACAGAGTACAGGGCTGTGAAGAGAGCCTGCGTAACCATTGCCAATTGATGTTAAGGAGAGACGTGGCACAGACAGGGGAGCGATGCGGAGAGGAAAGCGAAAGGCCGGCAACAGGGACAAAGTCTTCGGCTGTGACCTGTTGGAGCACCTGGCTGCTTCTTCCCAGGAGAGTGAGTCCTGTAATTCACTATTGTTTCCCTTTATCTGTTCACGCTTTCACCATGCCAAAGGCCTCTACCACAATACTAAACATTAGTGCAACTATATTACCATAGGTGCTACAGTATTTATTTAAAAAACAAGCAAAGAAACAAACAAATATTTACTAATAAATAATATTTATATTACTAAATATAAATATAATTGACAGTTTCACCACACTAAAGGACTCTACCAGAATACAAAAATATTAATACTACAATATTACCATTTATGTACATTATGGTAGTGTATTATAGTGTATTTGAATTATATGCAGTTCAGTCATTTAATTTGTAGGCCTACAGTACTGTAATTTGAAATTTGTAATGTTAAACAGGTGTACTGAATTTTGAATCAATAAAATTATGTAAATAGCGACGCTGTCCGGTCTGTTATATTTATGTAATACATATCCAAATGTCAATTAGATGTTAATCTGCCTGAGACATAAAGAAAAAGGAAAAAATTGGTTATAATGGTCATCCATTTATAGTGATCGGTTTCACCCAGACAGATGTGATCACTATAAGTGGATTCCACTGTACTGCAGACTACCAAAGATATCCACACTCCATCATTCATGACAATCATAAACCAAACTGAAGATCAAATTTAATTCAAAACTCACTCAGTCCACGGGATTCATTTTCGAGAATATTTCTTAGGACTTAGTGAATGTTGGGAATTTAACAGAACAGACTCCATGAGAGCTGATTGAGTTTTGATTCTCGACACCATAACATATGATGAGGAAGGCTGACTTTAGGTTACTGGTGATCTCATCGCAAAAACAACAAAAAAAAAAACAGACTGGGTGAGTTTTGGAAATTTTGTCTTCACTGTCATTTCTGTTTCACATGTCATATCTGTTTTGCTTTACCTGAGACAGTGTTTTCTGTCACAACATGTCAGTGTCATGACCTGCTCGTACCACAAACTGGTGTGCCACGCCCTCTTATTCACCTCGTGTGAAACCCTGATTGTTACCAGCTGTTTCATGTTATTTCCGGCTTGTCCTGTGTATTTCAGTCCGCGTTTGAGTACGTTTCCCTAGGTCTGTGATTAACGTTGCTTGTTTGGAGTGTGTTCCCCGTCAATAAACCCTGTCTGCTCGCATTCACAGTTCCCTTCGCCCGCTTGCCTGCACCCGTCGTAATAGTCAGGCACATATTCCCTCTCTTACTTCATTGTTTCTCTTCTCCCTTTGGCAGTTCCCCTGGTACTACGGTATTGCAGTGAGTTTATCGAAGAGCATGGAGTCGTGGATGGAATCTACCGGCTGTCCGGAGTATCTTCCAATACTCAGAAGCTGAGGTTCGCCTGTTATATCTGCAGTTGAAATAGGTCTAGAAATGGCTACATGTATGGGTTTAATGGGAACTAAACGCTGTGTGCAGGACGGAGTTTGATGAGGGCTCCCCAGACCTCAATAAGGAAGTGTACCTGCAGGACATACACTGCGTCAGCTCCCTCTGCAAGGCCTACTTCAGGGAGCTGCCCAACCCACTGCTCATGTACCAGCTTTACGACAAGTTTGCCGTGAGTTTGCTAGCATTCTGCCAAACGGCGCCCCGCAGAATCCCGGCCGCTCTATGAGAGTCACATCATGCCCTGTCGGGCATCATTAGAAGATTTATCTCCAGTGCTGAATATCAGAGGAAGTTCGGTTTAATCTGAATCATGACATACATTTGTGTTTATATCCATCCATCCATTTTCTAACTGGTCAGGGTAGCTTATTTGCTTTAGCTAATAGGAAAAACAGTATATAAGTATAATAAATGTAAATAAAGTATATGAATTTTTTTGTCATTAAAAAGAAAACCAACCTCCCTATTTTCAGGAAGCAGTATCCATTCATCTGGAGGACGAAAGACTGGTGAAGATCAAGGATGTTCTGAAAGAGCTGCCTACTCCCCACTACAGGTACACGATCCTCCATGCCCATCCCCACTACAGGTACACGATCCTCCATGCCCATCCCCACTACAGGTACACGATCCTCCATGCCCATTCCCCATTAAAGGTACACAATCCTCCTTACCCATCCCCCACTACAGGTACATGTTCCCCATCTACAGGTACACTATAACTGCTGCCTTTACTTCCTCAGCGGACAGTGTTAGCAGTTGAGGGAAGCATTTCTTCAGAAGTTCTTTTCTTCAACAGGTTTGTTTTAGTATCTGACTAAAGTCCTTTGGTCTTTCCTCTCAGGACTCTGGAGTATCTGATGCGTCATCTAGTGAGAATGGCCGCTCACTCCTCGCAAACCAACATGCACGCCAGAAACCTCGCCATTGTGTGGGCGCCCAATCTGCTCAGGTGACTGGAGTTCCCAACTCCGGGTCCCCATCGCTCATTGAGGAGCCATAGTTTAGCCCCACCCAACATCTCCCCATCGTGGGATGGAATGAATGGCAGTTTCTTTATGTTTAAGGCCGATTGTAGATCCAGCAATAGAGCTTCTTTGCTTGGACTGGAAAGAAAGAGACGTGTGAGACATGCTGACACAAACCCAACGAGGATATCAACAAGGGTTCTGCTTGGCCACCACTTGTCTCTTTCTGCAGGTCAAAGGACATCGAGGCATCAGGTTTCAATGGCACGGCTGCGTTCATGGAGGTGCGTGTCCAGTCCGTGGTGGTGGAGTTCATCCTGACCCATGTGGCCCAGCTCTTTCCGGAAGAAGGTGACTCTGAATTACAAGCTCAGATTTCATTATTACAAGCAAGGTTTTTTTTGTTTTGCTAAGGTGATCCTTTTGGTCTCTCCATATCTGCAGGCAATACCGGCGAGCGCAGACAGTCCCTGCCCTCACCAGCGTTCGCCTGCATCGAAGACAAGATTAGCCCTTCGCTGTTCGCAGGCACCATCAGTCCCGGCGATGGACCTCTCCCCATGCGGCCGTACCACACCATCATCGACGAAAAGTACGATCCTCTGGGTCACAGCAGATGCCGATGGTAGTGAAGCCAGCACATTATTTCAGCGCTGGTTTAGGGGTTTCTTAACATTTGCGATCCCACACCATGATTATAAAACACGCACCTGCCCCACGAGCTCACACCTCTGAAGCTCACTGTGGTCTCCTGTTTGCGCCTGCTTGTTCTGAAGGAGGAAGGGCTCGCTGAAGAGCAGGAAGTGGACGTCCATCTTTAATCTGGGGAGCAGGCTTAATGAGAAGAAGCATAAGTGTTCCAGAAAAGGTGAACCCTGGCACCTGTGAAATCTCTCCTTTTCTGCTCTTCCTGCATACCACACAGTCGCCACAAAGTTGCCATGTACTGCCCCGTTTATATCTCCCTACTTCTCTTTTCAAATATAATCCTTTATCCGCCATTTTTTTTACTATATAGACCCATAATACCCGAATGATACACACAGGGATTATGTCCAAATTCAGGTGCTGCTCCCTTCTAAGGCCGCATTCAAAGACTGAATCTGTCACAGCGGCTTGTGCCATTTCAAAGGCTCCTTCAAATCCCGTTTAGAAATGCATCCTTCTTTTCCTGAGCTGTGAAGGATCCACCCGTTGGATCACTCACAGCTCAACATATCCCAAGATTCATTGTGTGAACCTACAAAGGCCACATGGACCACATCCTTCAAAGGACACAGCCAGGGGCGGATTAACTTTTCTGGGGGCCCCAAGCTGACACTCTGATGTTGCCGATTCAGCTTAACCTCCCCATGTTTCCCGAAGCGGGACAGAGCCCTCATGTTTGCCGAGCCGGGGCCCTCATGGTTCTCAAGGTGGGGGGGGGAGCCCTCATGCTTCCCGGTGCGGGATGGGACCCTCATGTTTGCCGAGGTGGGACAGGGTCCCATCCCACCCCATCAAACATGAAATCCATCCGAAGCGTAATCATATTTTGTGTCTTATTGTAGACTATGTATCAAATGGTGTATCGCCTAAAAGGTATGAATGTATCGATGAAATGGCAAGTGCTGAATGTGAAAGAAACCACGGCTTTGTTAAATACCATCTTCTTATTGGCCTAGAGATGTCACATGGGTGTTATTTTCGAGTAACTGCACAGGCACTTCCGGCAGCCTAATAATAGCTTTAATGTTTTAATTTAATGTTTCCTATGATGGTTTTGATGGCAATGTAAGGGACTTACAGTAGCCTGTAAGCAGCCTGACTAGATATTCTATCCTTATAGGGACTATATGTTTACCAGCACGTTGGAACATTATTAAATGCTAAATAGATCATTTTCTTCTAAAATATTAATCTTGACTAGTTTATTCAACCACTGGTGTTCGTTCGTTTGCTGTGGTATAAGGGGGATAAACCGCTTCGCTTTGCGTCCGGCCGCATTACACCAACTTGTTGTGGTTTATCGCTTAAATATATCTGCATGCAAATGTGGCCCCAACCTTTTATTCCCGCCTGGGTCAGTATCGTAATAATGTAACATGGCTTTGTGGTGGCTTCTCTCTCATTGCAGAGAAGGAGAAGAGCAGCCTGAGACCTGCCAAAAGCATGGACTCACTGAGTTCTCCCTCTCAGGAAGGTGGGCTATCCTTTCTCAGGGACATTTACTGCACTTTGTATTTGATTGAACCAGAATGAACCTGATTTCAGTGATCATGGAAGTTATAGGAAACAATGTATATAAGTAAAACAGCCCATTAATGACTTAATCTGGGGCGCAGTGGTTAGCGCTGTTAGCTCACTCTCCTGGGGACCTTGGGGGTTTCCACGAAGCAGGATTTCTCGCCTTGCTCATAATCTCCACTAAATGTCAGTGAACGAAGATAACGTCACTTTAGCCCCGACAACCTTAAATCCAACAAATCATCCAGCTAAGCAAGAAATCCTGCTTCGGGGAAACAATCCAAAAACTGAATTTCGCGTGTGTGTGTGTGTGTGTGTGTGTTTGCGAGCAGGTATACTTTACCTTATGGGGACACAATATCCCCACAATGTGATGAATACCCATTTTTTTCACTCAATTTAATAAAAATCTGTGACTGCAATGAAAAAACTAAAAATGCAAAGACTCTTGTATTTTGCTTGGTTACTTATGGTTATGGTTAGGGCTGGGTGGGGGTTAAGGTTGTCATAGTTAGCATTAGCATTTTTCCCATAGAAGTGAATGAAATGTCCCCATAAAGATATGTTTACCCCACGTTGTGTGTGTGTGTGTGTGTGTGTGTGTGCCCTGTAGCGGGTTGGCACCCTGTCCTGGGCTATTCCTGGCCTTTCACCCCTCAATTCTGGGATAGGCTTAGCTTAGGACTCCATTTTGACGGCATTGATTGCCTCTGTTCCTGCAGGACATGGGAAGCGGCCAGACCAATGCCTCCTGTCGTCTCCCAGTCAGCAGCTGACGGTCACACCGGGAGGTGGCGAGTCTGGCGGCCTTGCGGCCTCTACTGGTGGCATGGGCAGCAGCTATGCGGTGACGTACCGCAGGGGGGGAGGTGCCAGTGTGAGTATGGTGAGCGGAGGGGGCACCCCCGGCACCTACAGTCGGCTGGACTCTGGGGGCGGCCTGGCCACCGTCATAACGGACCGCCCGATACCCAGATCCCCCGCTGCCAACAGCAGGGCCGAGCGCCGAGCGGGCATCCACATCTCGGGGCCCTTCTCTGTCACCGTGCCCCTGCACATCACATCGGGCCTGGCCCTGGGAGTCCTACAGGGGGCGGCGGGAGAAAAGGCGGAGGAGCCAGGGGGCCAGAGAGGAGAGGACAGGGAGCAAGGCGGGAAGGAGAAGAGAGTCGAGCCGGGAGAGTCCCAACAGCAGGCGAGAAAGGGGGAGCAAGAGGGCAAGGGAGGCGGGGATGGAGAGAAGGATCTGGAAGAAGGAGAGGCTACATCAAAGGATGGGCGAAGAAGCAGGAAAGATGGTGAAGAAGGAGAAGCAAGGAGGCAAGGCGCTGAGGAGCAGATAGAGAGGGCTGTCAATGGAGTGAGTGTGGAGGAGCGTCCATCAAAGGCCGGAGGAGAGAGAAGAAAGGAAGGAAGTGAAGGTGAGGGAAGATCAGATGCTGGACAGCCAGCCGAGAACAAAGAGGAACAAGAAGACGATGAGGAGCAGGAGTATATGGGTAAGTGGGGAGAGCCGGCCAGCACTGAGGTTGCTGTAGGGCTTTGGGGGATCAGCACTGAGGTTGCTGTAGGCCTTCGGGGGATCAACACTGAGGTTGCTATAGGCCTTCAGGGGATCAGCACTGAGGTTGCTGTAGGCCTTCGGGGGATCAGCACTGAGGTTGCTGTAGGCCTTCGGGGGATCAGCACTGAGGTTGCTATATGCCTTCGGGGGATCAG